TACTTCTACTACGCGACTACTACTACTACTACTACGACTACGACTACTACCCTTACTACTACTACTACTACTACTACTACATCTACTACTACCACTACTACTACATTGCCAGCACGTCTTACACTTACCGCCACGGTACTGCGGGGATGACAACAACCAATCTATGCCCACGGCGACGACGACGAATATTATCTCAAACGACTGTGATTACCAACACTATCAGGCTCGGCTAGAGGACCGCAGTGTCAGCTTGCGGGGTGGTTCTCGGAACCTTCCGTGTACGGGGGCCGTATTTTGTTTGGGCGCATAATCGACCGGATATCATCTGGCCTGGGAGAAGCTCCGCAAGCGAGTCTGCAGAGGTCGTTGCCGGGAAAAGCTTGGCTGTCCATAATTCAGTGCAGCTGGCTGCCTGCAACAGATGCAAACACACGATCACGCACGAAGTCCTTCGTCCTCCGGCGTTCTATTGTTATCATTGCTTCCTTGATGACCATAGCCTCGTGGGCATTAGACCATACATGCTCAACTCGTAGACGACGTTGTTGCAACCAAGAGTGGAAAGGAATCCCACAAAAAAGGACCTCAGCTTCGATTTCCTCTGGCTTGGAAGGCTTACCCACATACGGCACGATAGAAACTTTTGCCGCACACACACACACACACTCACTTGCTGCAGCCAAGGGCATCCTCCGGCTGCTTGACCTTTTTGAAAGTATCTGCAGCAGCATACCTGCAGAGCGGGATATGCCCCAGCCTCTAGCCGCGACCACATTCACAGCAATGCAATGCAACCGGCCAATGCTGCTAAAGCGCACTGCGACAATGTAGCTTCTCTCGCTCGGTGTGCTTCCTGCTGCTTCCTTGATACTCACAGTCTGCAACTTCCACTCTGTGGCCAACAAGAAACAAGCGAGTCCGGCAAAAGGGCCACACCTTTTGGATGAAGCGACCGTCCAAACAGAAGCCTTCTGGTAATTGCCTTTCCATTTTCACATCCTCCGGCGGTGTCGGTTTTCTCCGCTTTGACCAATACATGATGTGACAAGCGAGGTGCAAAGGATCAGCTAAAAAGCTATGCCCACAGCCTGGAGTCCAACCAGCAGGTGAAAGCCGCTCGGAGAGAGTGTAATTTGCACATCTGCACCTCGGCACCGACTGACACAACCAAATAATTCCTCAGCGCTGAGGGGAATCCATGCAGTCTCGTAAGGGCTGTGCACATTTCTACCCAAACCATCTCGGTCGAGTCCGAAGCTTCTTTGCGTAGTCGCACAGTATGAGCCTGGTTCAATGATGTCTTACAATGTCCAGCACGGCACACCTTTCAAGCACCGGTATAAGGCCTGGCTGTTGACGATCATGGGGTCTCCGCGCTTTGCCTGGCACTTGCCACGGGTCTGTGCCTCCAGCTGTCCGGTCTATGGAGAGTATCGCCAAGCGGCCGGAGGCACCGGGTTCCAGTCGCCTCCTTGGGCCATGGAAATGCGCAGCATGGAAAGGTCACTGCAAGAGCTGCTGAGTGAACGGCTTCTGCCCTCCGCGAGGTGTGCATAGAACCTTTGGGCCGTAATGGTGTAGTGAGAACCCTACTTAGCCTGAATTGGTGTGGAGTTACAAGGCCATGCGAGAAAACGATGCGCTGCTTTTGCGAAAACGAATGCAATCTGAGATTGCAGTACATGTCATGAGACAGACGCTATCGCGAGAGCATCAACTTGAGTTGGGTTTACGTGACTACCGCAGCATTTTGCTGATTGAGGCCATGTGGCCGAAATGCTTCGGTCAACAATCCGTTGGAGCAAACAGGATTCTGTGCTCGTGGGCTGAGCCGGACGTAGTGCAACTTGTCCTCCAGTTCGCAATGAGATCAAATGCAGTACGAAGCCGAAGCCGTGCTTAAGACGAAGAAGCACGGGAAGAACTTTCTTTGATTGTCAGTGCGGCAAGCATGCTCAGACTTCCCACAGGCCAGAAGCTACTACAGTACTGGCCTAGCCATTTCAAGCCCAGCAGGTACAGTATGTAGCCACAACAAAAAGCTCGGCTTCAGGAGTTTCATACTTAGTAAGCGGGCACATGCTAAGATGGAAGCGATCCTTGAGTCCACCGAGCCGGTCTTGAAAAACAGAATTTGATCGAGGGCAGAGCAGTACAAGTCCAGGCAGAACATTGATGCAGAAAGGACTTTGGGGGTTCAGGGGTTCAGAATTTTATAGGGTTGAGAGTTTAGAGTTTAGGTTGGAGGGGGGGAGCTTTCGGTTGGAGTGGGGGAGAGGGGGAGACCTTCTGTGTCAAGAAGTGGCGTTTTGGCTGGAACCCAGCGTGTACTTGCCCGTTTCCACTCGATTCAGGCCTGGACAGCGAAAGGTGTCGTGCCACGTGTAGATTTCGCATGTCGGGCTGTGATCCTTAAAAGCCAGAGTGTACTTGCAGTTCGTAGGGTGTGAGTCGACTTTATGCGGATGGGTCGATTTCACACGAATCGTGGGGTGACCTTGGAGCAGAAGTACTTGGTCTTCCAGTGCTTGGACAAAATTCAAAACCCAGTCAGATCAGTAGAAGGAGATGCGCCTCGCGAATATGTTGCACTCTTCATCTAGTACCAACGACACTGTGCGAGCTACCATATGAAAGCTTGCAGAGCACTTTGTGGATCTCACCTTCCGAACTGAACAACTTCGAGCTGTCGCACGCGCTGAACTGGAAGCGCAATGTAAACTCAAACAGGGTGGGCACTGGTACAAGCAAAGGCGGAGCAAGCGGTTGTGGGTGTCCACAAGCTTCTGACAACTGCAGTCTTGGAATTCGCCTAACTCAGAGTCGGAGTCATCGGAGTCACAAGGTTCTCTCTCACCCACCTTGCAAGGCAACACCCAGATCTTGCTGAGAAATAGAACCTTGTCTTCCGCAAGAAGAAACTACCCCAGAACCAAGTCACATGGTCGTCATGCATCAAGGAGGCGTTGAAGTTACGCGAGCCTTCCAACCCCGGTCGTCGCACTCAGCAGGATCTACCAGCAAACGCAGCAGCTCTTCGCTTGCAAGTCAGGACAAGAACAACGCCAGGAGTAAAGGCAGGCCAAGGCCGTTCAAACTTGAGCACACTGAGCGGCGTGGGTTCAAAACACTAGCTTCACCAAGGCCCGGGAGTGGGCGGGTGGGAAAATCGGGTGTCGTCCCTTGACCCAAAATGGCCACGGGAGTACACCATGATTCAAACCCACCATCCACGCTTGTGATTGTCCCTGCAACAAGCAAGCATGTTTAGTGCGACAATCACTATCCGCTCCCCAAACAACCACCATTACACAGTAATCGCACAGCAGTGGATTATTTTCACAGTTGGTCGTCGGGTCGCACCACTTGCTAGCACAGGACATTGTCACTGTGGAACTCAAGTGTGCAGAAGACACCCACATGACCCGACCAACAATCGCAAAATATATCATCCAACCTGCTCCGCGCGGTTGTTTCTGGGTGAAATTAAGAGCTCGAGCTATCCGAGGATCCAGAGCTCGAAGAGGTTGCTGCACACGATTCGGAAGAATTCAACGGTGCTTCTCGCAGATGGAGCTCGGGCACGACCGCAAGCGAGCACCAGGGCAGCCCGAAGCCGAGCCGAAGAGGCTCAAGATCGGGGGCACGGTGGCGGCAACGCTCTACAAGCCCCAAGAGGAGCTGGACAACTTCGAGGAGTATGAGGAGGCCTGGTGGGATGCAGAGGGGGACGCCGACGAGGGCGACAAGGAGATCCTCGATTTCAGCACCCGCATCCCGGAGGTCATGGCCGGCCTCGACTCGGCCGAGTTTCTCAAAGAGTAGGTGCCGAGGTGGGCGAAGGCCAAAGAGAGCCGCCTCCGGCTCCTAACGAAGTTCACCGCCCTCCGGGAGATCGAAGCCCACCTTTCTGTAGCAGTGCTGGGGGCGGGCGCGGGCCCAACACTAACCACTGTGGTGCCTGCCCAGCAGAGACCGGATGCCCAAGCACAAAGAACAAGGCAGTTCGTTCGCCCCGGGAAGCACCACAGCCCCACCAAAGGTGGATGAACTGCGATGATCCCAGGGAACGACCGATAGGTCCATGCAGATGCCCCCGCCTGTTTCCTGGGACTCCCTCAAAATCGGGTGTCGTCCCTTGACCCAAAATGGCCATGGGAGTACACCATGATTCAAACCCACCATCCACGCTTGTGATTGTCAATGCAACAAGCAAGCATGTTTAGTGCTACAATTAGATAGTCGCATTTGCTCGTCTGTACACAACCTCATGCCCGAGATTTTGATATACCTCCTGCCGCACTTGCATATTGAGCGAAGGGAGGCAAACTCATGTGTGATCGACAAGTTCGGCAGCATACTTTCATCGTGAAATCGATACCTCTGAGGGGGCGTTACTTGTGATCAGCGTTCTTCGAAGGACACCCGTCAACAACTTCAAGCAAGAGAAGTCGCTGCTCTTCAAATCTTAACGTCGCTTTCTTTTCGAAGGTCTTTCATCCGCTTTCGTGCGACATGTTAGTAGTAGTCGTCGTCGTCAAAATAGTAGTGACTAGAGGAGGTGGCGGTGGTGGTGGTGGTGGTGGTCGTGGTGGTGGTTGTAGCAGTGGTAGTGGTGGTAGTAGTGGTGGTAGTAGTAGTGGATGTGGAAGTGGAAGTGGTAGTAGCGGTAGTGAGGTCGCAGAAAGTCCGAGCGACTAACGCAAATCTTTCGCGTGATGTCTTCTACGATTGTCCCAAAACTGATACGTTCAGAGGCTAAGCATGGGTACACGACTGCTGCACGTCTGCAGAATGATGCGTATCGTCTGAACATGGTCTTATTTGCTGGACAACCACCTCCGGGAGAGATGCTACGTAATATTCATGACTATATGTCACGAGAGTGTCCTGTCATCCCAGATCTGTCTTGCCACTCGGGAAACCGCGCAAGCTCAAAGCTAGTTTAGACACAACAGCTACAGCCACAATGAGTGTGCTCTGCAGAAACACCACGGCAGTAAAATAAACTGTTGATCTCACATTGAAGAAGACGCTGATGCATCGTGCAGAACACCGTTATCATTCTTTCTCTGAGCCTATCTCAATCAGACGTTAAAAAAAACATAAATTGAACCGGAGAGCTATTACGAAAGCTCTTTCCAAGCACTGGCATGTCGTGTTGCTGTTAATGCATTGTTTTCATGCCTTCGTGAACAAACAAGCAACGATATTTGACAGTGAATTGATTCATCAACTCTTCCCAAATTCAACGATTGAGTTGTGTTTTGCGTCCCTGGGCTTTCCCACATGCAGCTGGGACCTGGAGGGGGCTGTTGGTTATGTCACATTATGATTGCAATAATTAAATTACATGTCATGAATCAGATGCTCTCGCAAGAGTTTCAACTTATGCTTTTGCAAGCATCGCAGGACTTTGCATCAATTCCGAAGCCTGACTGAGCCTAGATGGGCGAAACACGTCGCTAAACAATGCGCTGGAACAAGAACTGTGCTTGTTTGCACATGGCTTAAGCTGGACATTCCGCAGGAGAATAGAACCCTTGGGCTGTGATGGTGTAGCGAGACCCCCACGAAGCGTGTAGTTGCACGGCCATGCGGCAAAATGATGCGATGCTCCGGGGTCGCAAGCTGCCAAGTAACGGCTGCAATCCAAGCTCGCAAATCTGAAGGGAGGCCGCAGGGAACTCCTTGAGCGTTCCTTAAGAAATTTGCAAGTCTGAGGAGGAGAAGATCTCAGAGGCTTCTCTGTGCTTCCAAGCTTCCAAAATGCAGAAATGCCTCGGGTCATGATTTTCTGCGTAGATCTGTGGCCATCTCCCAGCCCTAAGGCTCTAAGACACCCCCAAGACTGTCAGGGCGCACAGTCTTGCATCAAGGCTCCTCTCAGTTCCAGGCCTGGGCCAGTCAGAGTTCTTTGGAGAGTAAACCGCATGAAATCTCAGAACGTGCGGACAGGATGCTTCCAAGGTAGTCCTGATACCAAAAAGTCTTTTTTGCTGAGTCTTGACAAAGCGGAAACAAGAGGATAGGCTCCACGTCTTCTTCCGCCAAGACTCATGCATGAGATCCAGAATAGCCACAGGAAGCTTGGACATGCCAGAAACACGGTTGGCAAACTGCTCCTCCAGAAAAGCTGTGCTACAGGCCACACGCATGCTGCATCTGTACAGGGACGATTTTGCCAGACTCAGCAAGCTTTCCCGTGTCTGCCCGGGCAAGCTGGCCATGACAACCTCGACATAGAAGTCGAAATAGATGTCCGATGCCTGCACAACTCGCGAAAGTCAATCAACAAGGCTTCTCAGTCTCAGAACGCCTGACGCCTGCACTGCTTTGATCAGTGTCTTGCCATCGCATTGGGCGGCACCCAGCTTGAAAAATGCAAGGCACCACTCCGGAGACATTGCCTCAGTCGTTGGTGGCATAGTGTCAACTTCAAGTGTGAGAATGAGACCAGCAGATTGCAGCAGGGCCACAAAAATTCCTGTGTCCAGAGCACAGGACTCGTCCAACATGCCCGGAACCAGGCATTCGTTTCGCAGTTTCTCAACCTGAGGAGAAAGCTCCGTGTGTCTCTGAAGCTCGGATGAACTCATTGATGCGCTCAAGGTGCCGGAGACTTTTGATAAAAGTCTTGTACGGGATATGTCGGCCCCTGGTCCCGGTCATTGCCGAATGCAAAAACACCATGACGGGAGCCTGGAGGCGCGAGAAATCCTCTCCCTCTATCCCTCTCTCTTGAATGGTGTACAGAGCTGCCTGTGCTTTCTGCCCCAACCCATGTGAGAACTGCACCGAGCCTTGCTCAAGAGAAGCAATTTTGCCAAATCCACATATTGATCCACGCCGGAAGTTTTCTCGGAGGAGCTGCCCTGTGTGCATGTCTTGCAGAAAGATTCACTTTCCGAATACACACTGCAGCTGCAGTATGTCCTGCCACATCGAAGTCCACGATCACATCCCCTGAGTGTTACGTGAACCGCAGCATCATTTTCGGTTTGCAGCGGTCGGGCCAAGGCTTCGGAATCAATGGTGTTCCAGAGAAACGCAAAAATCAGGCTGTACCGAAGGGCTACTGAACGGCAAGCTGCCAGAAGCGAGGATTACCTCACCATCAGCCCATGGATACCTGCTCGGTGCGAAATGAGCGTGCTGCAAACTATCGACTGGATCAAGTGCCGAGTAAAGCCCCTGGATTCTCCAAACTCGTAACATCTCGTAACCCAGCTGCACCCGAACAAGTGGACATGGCCTAAAGTAAAGGCTGAGGAGGAAGTCCAGCACTACCACGGGGCAGTTCGTCCCTCTCTGGGAGCGAGCCGCAGAGAGGGGACCAAACAGCTTGCCTGGCCAGGAGATAAGGCTACACTTGAGGCTTAGTGCGACCCCGCATGCCGAGGCCCGAGGGTCTGACCTTCTGGAACATAGCAAGGAAGCCGGCGACTTTCTCCTCCTAGCAAAGACATAAGGCCTTGTGCTTCTCTAACCAAACGTTGCGTCTCTACCTGCGTGGAGCAGCAGAACTCGCTGCTTGGAGAAGAAAGTTAGGATATCCTCCTACAAGCAATACGTGCTGGAATGGTCAACGCCCGCGATCAAAAGCCACGGCAAAGCCTGCTCTCCTCATCCAAGGCGTCTGCCGAAAGAGCAGGGGCTTGCCGCCTCATTCTCAAACGGATGCAACATTCAACTCAGAATCTGAGTCAACTTGAGCGCAGCTTAGTGGTGCTGCTCTTGCTGGTAGAGTTCGAACAACGCCAGCATGGTGCCACCTCCGCTGCCTCGACTTGATGCACACAGCGGCACAACACGACACAAGAATACACAACAACAAGCATGCCAAATTGAGCCATGTGCCGACCCGCCCGCGAGGCGGATCAGCGTAGACGCGAAACCTGATACTACCTTAGTGGCAAGTACACAAGGTTCTGGCTGTTCGGACAACGCATCATCACTCGATTTTCTCCAGCATTCTGACAGCATCGCGACATATGTCCACAGGCAGGACTTGCAGCGAATTTCAGTCGAAATGTCATGCTGCTATTCTCTGGGCATCAAGGCAGGAACCAGTATTTGGGCAGGCGCAAACGCAATTCCCCGGGCCTCTACAAACCACCTCTAAGCATGGCAGACACCTGCTTCACTTCGCCTGGGCTTGGTTCAAAGGCACTTGCCAGTCGCGAGTACGTTGGCACGCCATGGCAAACATCGGTCACGTCGACCGGCTCTCTGCAGGCTACGGGCAGCCATGCTTCAAGTCCCACGAACGTCATGAAACCTCATCTCTCGTGCAGCTATCTGCACGTCTGCTGCGGCGTCTGCGGCTTTAGAGGACCGGCTGCCGATACTGCGCCGAGCTTTCTCATGGTCGCCCACCACCACAGCCCAAACCAACAGACTCGGCAATCGAATACAACATACGCATTATTGGGGCATCGCCGAGCACGTCATCCCGGCCAGTGGGGTGTCCTGCGTCATCTTCCATCGTTTCCATGACTGTGTCTGTGCTGAGATAAAGGATCGTGTCGGAGGCGACATCGAACACCATGACGAATGGATAAGCGCATGCAGCTGCCACACAGCCACCGATGATGCACCAATGTGCAGTGCTTCTAATGAAACTAGGGCTCTCAGAATCCCGATAAGCGGGCACCATTGTAACCGCGATGTATGCCGTGACAAAGCCAAACCACCATGTCAAGGCCACACAAATGATTTGGAAGACGAAGGTCATCCCATTCAGCGAATTGGCGGTGATGCGGTCTTCATCGGTGACTTCCTGGGATCTACCCGTAGCATGGAGCAGCGAAGACCCATGTAGTGCGACATCCACGTACGCATTCACGGATAACGGCTCCAGGATCTCCCTGTAAAAGCTCACCACGCATGAACAACAGGACATGCAACAGTCCTTGACTGGGTTGGTCCTTGTCAACAGGGTTTGATCTTGTGGGTCCGGGCTGCTCTGCACAATTCAGCTGCGAGGAAGCTCTTGACTGCTCAAGTCTAAACTAGAGGATTCCGCTCCCATGCTATCTCTTCTCGCTCGTCTCGGCAGTTCTCATGCGATGAAGCATATATTTCTTGTTCGCTGATGCGTGGGTCCTTGCTGGCGTGGGTGGTACAGGTAGTGGTGGTGGTAGTCGAAGTAGTGGTGGTAGCGGTGGTGGTCGTGGTGTAGCGGTAGGGGTAGGGGTAGTGGTAGTGGTGGGGGTAGTGCCCTAAACCCTAAACCCTAAACCACGGTTTAGGGTTTAGGGTTTAGGGGGAAGTGGTGGAGCTGGTGGTGGTGGTGCTGTTGGTGGTGGTGGTCGTGGTGGCAGTGGTAGTGGTGCTGGTAGCGGTCGTGGTAGTGGTGGCAAAAGCAGTAGTGGCAGTCGTCGTAGTACTAGTAATAGTTGTTGTTGGAGTAGTTGGTCGTCGTCCCGTAATGCTACTACAGTACTAGAGTACTAGTACTAGTGCTAGCGCTGGTGGTGGTAGTAGTAGTAGTAGTAGGAGGAGTAGGAGTAGTAGTAGTAGTAGTAGGAGGAATAGGAGTAGGAGTAGTAGTAGGAGTAGTAGTAGTAGTAGTAGGAGGAGTAGTAGCCGTAGTAGTAG